CCCCCCGGGGCTGCCTGTGCCTGCCCGTTCTCCCTCCCCCCCACCTGCTGCCTACCAGCTGGGCACAGGGTGCTTTCTTCCATGTGGGGAGGGCTGCGTGGAGCCTGCAGCATGCTGAACCCCTGCTGAGCACTGTGGCAACTGAGCTCCACGTGGTGCTTGGACCCACCCAGGTGAGGGCCGCAGCAGCCGGGCCCCTGCTGAGCTCTGCTGCAGCTCTGAGTCTGGGCTGAGAGCCACATGGAGCCCGGCTGCCATGGCACCCCATTAGCATCTGGGGGCATGGCCTTTCAGAGTGTCCAGGTCCGGCAGGCAGAGATTCGCATCCTGCTGCCGGTCATGAACTGCTGGCGTACGCTACCTCCATCATTGTGCCTCAACCCTGTTTTATAGGGATCACTGCTAGGGGGGACGTTGACTATTTCAGTCTGCTTGTCAATCTGATTTTTAGGCCTCACAGTACAACAGAGGTGCTAATTGTGATGTGGACATGTGTCCACCAGGAGCAGATTGAGACCAACAAGTTTCACATGTACATCATGAACTGCTGGCGTACGCTACCTCCATCATTGTGCCTCAACCCTGTTTTATAGGGATCACTGCTAGGGGGGACGTTGACTATTTCAGTCTGCTTGTCAATCTGATTTTTAGGCCTCACAGTACAACAGAGGTGCTAATTGTGATGTGGACATGTGTCCACCAGGAGCAGATTGAGACCAACAAGTTTCACATGTACAGCTAATATGATTGTCCGATGGTAATGATTTTCAGTCATTGACCTTATCCTGAATCACATCAGTAACCTAAAGGAGAAAAGCTGTGACTCCTAGTGTTAATTCCTACAGTCACCCTTTCCTTTCAAGCCACTTTACACACCTCTTTGCATTGCCAGTGATGAGTATTAGGAATCAAAACGAAGAGCTAGGTTTCACTAATCAAACCACATTTTAATTGCCATGTATGGTATCTTGTATGTGCTAATTAGGAATCCACAAAGTAAAATAACTGCCTTTCATTACTTCTCTTGATATTAGAATGAGAAATCTACCACTCCTGTGTCTAAATCAAATACCCCAACTCCACGGACTGATGCTCCAACTCCAGGCAGCAATTCTACTCCTGGATTGAGGCCTGTGCCTGGGAAGCCGCCAGGAGTCGACCCTTTAGGTTAGTAACAATTAGGCCTCTGGAAAAGCTTCAAGCTTTTTCAGTTCTTTTACAAACTGCATTCTTGTCTGTGGCCTCTATTTGTCATTCTCTTCCTTGAAATGCCGAGTGTCCCTTATAGCTATTTAAATTGGTCATCTTCCCCCAACAGCTTCCGGTCTAAGGACTCCAATGGCAGTACCATGTCCCTATCCTGCTCCATTTGGAATTGTGCCACATGCTGGAATGAATGGGGAGCTGACTAGTCCAGGAGCTGCATATGCCGGTCTACATAATATTTCCCCGCAAATGAGTGCAGCAGCTGCAGCGGCAGCAGCTGC